TTAATCTTGGATACTGTAATCCTGCAATAAAAAGTAACCGCTCTGTAGTGAAATGCTTTTCTAAGTACAGCTTTCATACCTAACTCTGTAGAACTTTGATGCCACTGATTTCAAAGGTCTGTCTGGATTTTATCTGCAAGTCATGAGCAATGGTGATAAACACATTCAGCTATGGAATGGAAATACAGTACATGTTTGAAGAATTTCCGCATGTTTGAGATGTCAAAATGTAAAAAGTTTCTAAACATTTTTTTTTTATTTTAAATGAAAAGGAAAATTAACATGGACGGATGGATGCATGGATTGATAATTCAACTGATGGATAAGTGGGATGGGTGGAGACAGACTTTTTATCAGTTGATTTTGTTAGCTTAAAACAGCTAAATTCTATTTTATACTAGGAGGTGAGTTCAAAAACACTACTATATTATAGATGACAAATGTTAAAAAGCTATAATTAGCAGATCTTATTTTATTACGTCTAAAATAAACTTGGCTAATTATTATCTGGCTAAAGTCAACTTTGTCCTGATCCAGTTCAGCAGTGCGTGTCTAGAGAACTGTGGTTAAAAAACATATTTGTCTCTTTTTTGTTATTGAAATGTAAATACAACCTTTATTTCCATTGCAAAGTAGGCTTAGTTTTTTTTTAAAATAAAGAAAAGATAAGATGAATATCTATTTTGTTTGCATGTGATGCTTTGGGGCTCAAGGTAATGACAAGCCCCACTGTTGATGTAGTTATCATTTCACTGACGGCACACTATGTTTAATTATTTACTGCTTTTCCATCGGTGTGTTGTTTGAACAAACAATGAGGCGCTTTTTGCTCATAACCAGAGATAAGGTGCAGCAGTCTTGGACAGATGGTTTCATCAATAGAGACTAGGTCTCATAACAAACTGTACCTGATTAACAAATGAGTTTCGTGCTACTTAGACCTGCATGAATGTACCTGAAAGATTACCAAGCTGTAGATGACACCATGGACACATGGCAGGAATAAACATGTACGTGAATAATTGTATTCAAATTCATATCAAAAACTCATTTCAGATCTGGTTACCTGACAGTCCAGCAACACATCTCATAATGCAGCCCATAGAGGAAACATGGATCCTTCTGTGCGTTTTAGTCGGATGAAAGGATTCGGTACAATCTGGCTACATAACAGCTACATAAATATTAGGTTTATCCCCTTATTGGCATGTTTCTTCTCAGGTTAAGGCCAAACAGCATTTGTTTTTTTTATCAATGTTTTTAAGTATTTCTTTACTAAGATATTTTAGCAGCAGATTGTTGAGCACAGATATGTTGGATTTGTTTTAATGTGGAATAAAACCTGTATAACACTTAATTGATTTTACAACACAGATTTTCCTTGAACTAATTCTGAAAATTATGATGTAACAATAGACCAATGGCTTGTTTGGAAAAGTTGCAAAGAGAATCCATCTTCTCTCCTCAACTAATATGACAGCATGACTTTTGTTTGGAGACATGAAAGAGCAATAGCTGGTGGCATGCTTTGGTGGTGCAGTGGTTAGCGTGCCTGAACCATGTACGGAGGTCTTATGCTACGTTCAGACCACAAGTGCTGGAAGCAGCAAAAAAGCTTCTGCTGCCTTACTTTGATGCTTGTACTCATTAAAGGAAAAGTCCGATCAGGACTTTGGACCAGAATCATCAATGGATCATTATCTATACCTAATACTAATATGTTTGCTGTGATTTGCCAAATTTAGCATTAATCAGTTAAAATATATATTTTTCGTTGCGATCACTGAGTCCGGGACCAGCCTTTTTTGCCTAAATATGTAGTAGTGATGTCACGGTGTGGTAAGCCTAGCTCCATTCTCCCAGCTTTACAAGCAAAATCAATTGGAACTACTACTGTAGACACATCTGCAATCAACAACAATAGTTTAAGATTTCAAGAGGACTTCACCATTTAAATTTGCAAGTGCTATAATTAAACTGACAATGTCCACGTCCATGGCAGTTGGATGTTGTAAAACACATAATATGTAGCCAACATTTCGAAGAAGAATGTTTTCAAGATGACTTTGATAATAGCACGTTGTGACAAACACCAGATACATCATTGGGACTTGATCAACAGCCGATATTGCAGCATGACGTGACAAACCGGAAGGTGGCAGTAGTGCTCTTTGGCAAACATGGATGTCTCCGGCAAAGCACATTGAAATGAAATTACTCTTAATTAAAAACCCTTATCATTTGTTGAACATTAAGTAATCATTTCATATTTAAAGTACTTTTGGAAGTTTGAATTCTGAATATGACCAGAATTTTCCCTTTAAATTCCAGTAAAGTGTGTCCAGTTGCGTCCGATTCTTCCGCTGCTCCTGTGTTCAATGGCAGAGAGAGGCTTTGCGATATTTTTTTCATGACCAGTGGGTAAGTAGTTTAAATTTTTTTAAGTGAGAAAGCCGACCTGAAAACATCATCTGTGCAGTCAGTTCATCAAGATTACGATCCTAACTTCAAATATTATTTCGCTGTCAGACCAGCACAAAACCACCGTATACCGGCGGTGCTTTTTTACTGGAAATTCCTTTCCATGGGAGCCTCTGCCCGGTTGCCTCTTTGGGGTTTTCCGCTATTGTTCGTGGCAGCTAGAAGGCATTTTCCATGTACGTAATCAAAACTGCAGGGGCCAGAATAATAAAGCAAACTTATTTTGCCGACAGGTTTTGACATTTTAAGTTAATTTAGGCCTTAATAAACAGTTTCAGGGGAGTGATCATAGCGATCTGCATCGACAGTGCAGTGTCTGTCTCCCTATCAGCTCTGAGATCAGCTTCTCTGATTGGTTGATGTGGCACGTCCAGCAGCAAAAGTTCAAGTTTTCCGACTCAGCTGCTGCTTGTGAAGTTTGTCACACGCCCTAAGATGCTCAGAAGCTCATGAGGCGCTACTTCAGCTGCACAGATGTGTCAAGATGCATTGCTACTGCTGCTATAGACATGCTGCAGGACCCTTTGATGCGCCTTGATACACATTAGCAATTGACTTTGCACATAAAGCATCCGCTTCTGCTGCTTCTGTGGCATGCAGACTGAACGTAGCATTAGTCCTTGACGTGGCCGACCAGGGTTCGATTCTGAGCTGTGGTCCTTTGCCGTGCGTGGCCCTTCTCTCATACCCTCTTTCCTATGAGCCTTCTGTCATAAAAACTTAACAAAAAAAGACCAATAGGTGGACTTTAACCACCAGAAGGGCTGGTGAGTGCCCTGTGTAGACCAAAACAAGTTGTGACAAATTACACCTTTCAAGCTGACCCTCGCCTCATATGTGCATATTTGCAAATAAAATCCTTCAGGAGGAGCATGTCCAGTGAAGTGAGCTCATAAAGCAGTTAGCAAGAGAATTTTTGGCACTCTCCGCCATTTTGTGCTACACTGCTCTCCTTGGGCAGAGAGAGACTAAGCTGTAAATTGCAGCAATATACATGGACATGCATGCACACATGGCTTGAAAACATGAAACCGACTTGTAAACATGAGCCTGGAGAACAACACAGAGAGATGGGGTGATGTCACACCAGATAACATTGAAAAACATAACTTTAGTTCTTCACATGACTATTTTTTTTAGTTCTTGCATAAGGAATTATTACTTATCAAGCCTTCAAATCTGAAAGACAATAAAAAATATGTACTTTGGACTGATGTTTAGCTTACAATGCACACAGCAATCTATGACAAAACCATGCACAATGCATGAACACTAACACCTCATCTCAACTTTCAAGGTTGTGGAGGGCTGATGACTCACATAAGCATCTAGGGGCAATGCCAGAGTATTTTGAGATAAATGTCCGACAGACAAAGCTTGGCCTAACCCTTTCATGCAGGCATGATACCCTGAAGGTATTGTAGTTTACTTATAGAATAGGAACAAAGTTTAGCACACATTGGGAATGGAAATGGAGCCACCGATGCATTACTTCCTCTATCCTTGACAGATGTTTTTACCATCTAAACAAAATGAAATGACCAAATTAGAAAAGTTGTAGTTGTTTAGTTGTAAGGCCCTTGAACAATGACACTGTGAAAAGAGTTTTCCTCCTTGACAGATGTTCCATTTTCTTATAAAAAAAAAAAAAATAAATAACCTAAATCTGTAAAAATTATTATTAGAAATGATCTCATCTTTGGAAAAGAAGATTTTTTTTCGAAAACTCATGACTATATATTCATTTCATGTGAGAACATTTTTGGAAATGAAAAAATGTAGCTAAGTTTCTTTCATTTTAGCTAATAATGAATTGAGGCAAGTAAAGCCTGCAGTGATTTAGGTGTTTTGTTTTTACTAAACATCACCTTATTAAGGAATGCTTCCTCTCCAGGAATAATTTGGACATATTTTACAACTACTTGTAACATTAACCACATTCCTATATTTCTTCATTCATGTTTACTTTAGTCACTCTCACTGCCATACAAATTCCCACAGATTAAAAATATGCCCAACTTAGACTCATAGATGACAGGGATCTGGTTTTTCATCTGCTCTCGAGTTTCTGTAGATTGGGCCCAGATGTGTTGTGTTTGAACTTGTTGTGACTACTGAGTAGGTCAAGGTGTATGGGGTTACACACTAGAGTCCACCTACTGCAGTATACAAGCAATATTCAACCAATACCTCCATGCTGCAGGAACTTGAATCATTCTGCATTGCAATCGCTTTGTAAGAAAGAGCTACGTTGGGCCATGAAAGCACCAAAGTATAAACACAAGTTGAAAATCTGACATCAAGCATGTCTTTTTTAATTTGTTATTCATCGTAATCACAGTGTACTTAACAGTTCATAACTGTCCGCTACACACAGTATGATCTGTGCCCTCACTTTCTTTTAGTGATCTTTTTGAAATGAGTGCAATGCTACCTCTACATATCAAAGGGGATAGAGGAGACATTGGAACACACAATTACATGCCCCCTATTTGCCTGATAAGCAGCAGTCAGAAGCATGTGCTGTGAGAGTAAGAGAAGCAGGAGAGGTTTAAGGGCAGCACACTGTTAACTTACAGCAACAGTGAGTCTCATCTGTCGTGCTAGACGTAGGTTGCGTATGTGGGTGAGTATCTATTTTTTTTTTTTTGAAAGCTCCTAAATATATTATAAGGCAATGGAGATTTGGTTATTTTGCAAGTATCTGGATTTCTTGTGGTCCAAGTTAAAGCTGCTCTGATGCATATTTTAACAGCTCTCAAGATAAATCTCGGATTTTTGTTCCGAAGTGCAAAGTTGCTGAATGGGATTTTTGTGCATAATGTTTAATATTGTTGTTCTGTAACAACATGCACAGTTATCACTCGCATAGTTCACTTAGGCCACATTTGCTGCTGGATTGTAGAGTACAAATAATGCCATAGATGCCTTCTTGACTTTGTTTTGACCTAAAGGCAACTCCAGCTATAGCCGCCTACTTTTAGTTCCTCTGATGTCACTTGCAGTCATCCTCATGGGAAAAAAAAAATAACATCGCCCATAACCAGAGAAGCCCAGAGGAAAATCCTCTCTCTGAAAGACATCCTGGAGACAGGGAACAACTTTGACTCCTCTCCATGAGGAAAATCTCTCTCCAAATAGGGCAGATCCTCTCGCATGTGTTTCTTTTGTCTTGTAGAGCCAATCCACCCACGGTCCAACACGGCACTGTTGATGTGCTGCAGCCTGTCTCACACATCAGAATTTTTTTATAGAAAGGTAAAAAAAAGCCTTTCTTGGGTTAAGGCTGCATGTTTAGTCTCACTTCTTGCTATGCTGGCTGTCAATAGGAGACTCGAATGGGCATTCAAAACTGAAGAACCCCATAGAATACTGCACACTGCTCACCTCGAGCTGTCAATCAAGCCAAACTGGTCTGGTAAGTTAAAGTCTACAAAGCAAGAGCTGCGTGGGATAGAAGTCAATGAGAACTGCATGTTGTTGAGCCTCAGAATATCCACAGTAAAGGTTTTAAAAGTCAATATGATGCAGACCATGGCCAAGACTTTCATACATCATGTTTGCATAACTTCATTTTGTGCACTATAGTCATGGAATGAATAATTTTTTTTTTTTATTTAATGCCTTATTATGGCAGAGTATTTTGAGTTTTTTTTATCTTAAAGATTCAGTTTTATGGTGAGTGAACATAGTTGGGGGGGGGCTATTAAACAGACGCCTATTAAATGCGTGAGAGCATGCACAAGCTGGTGCACAAGGTGTTCCCTCTCTGCAGAAAGTACAGAGTTGTGCATGTGCATTTTTTTAAATTCTTAGTGGATAGGGTGGGTCTTTTCAAAAATTTGTGAATATGCATCATTAAACTATACTCCTCTATAAATTTGCAGCTATGTTTTGGATCAGGGTTCTGATGATTATTCAGTTTAGGCCAAATTTCAAATGTTGGACAGAATAACTCAATTTGACTCCAGAGAGAGAGAAAAAAAAAGATGTACTGATGTATTAAGGGTGGACGCAGTTATTTCTAAATGCTCTGGAGTTTTGTCTAAAAACTAGGCCAGAGTCTTAGCTCTTTTCTCCCACAATGCTTGTAGGTTGGAAGTATTTTTTGCACGGATATGCTTTGTTTGGTTTACCCCCAAACATGGCACTGCACATTACAACAGACATCTTATGTTTCCTTTCAAAGCAATACATTTTTCTGAATCTTTTCCACTGTACTCAAGGCTTCTAAAGACAGAGCTCTTGAATTTTCAGCTATTTCTCTAAGGATTTCACCATCTGTCATTGGTAGAAAGAATAGCTCCAGGCAGGATTAGCACATTTCTTAATTGTTTCCACATCTAAACAATCTATCACATTTTAGAATAACAGGCCCCAAATGTTTCTCATGCTTTAGCACACTTTGGTTTAGTTGTATATGGTCTGAGAAGATGTGATTTTCAGTCCTGAGTTATAAAGAGGGTTCAATTTAATTTTAAAATAACTGCTTCAAAACTCAAATGCACATATATGTTTTTTTGTGTTGATTTGCTGTCATTCATGACAAGATAGATCCTGAATATCATAGGAATACATTAGCTTAAAATATAATTCTTAGAAAACTTGCTTCCCCCTTTTCATCATTCCAAGATCTGTAAATTTGTTGTTGTTTTTTTATGTTCATTTTTTATTTTATTTTTTTGCATCAACTGTATTGCTTTTCTTGCAATCAGTAGAACCATCAAAACAGATATCAAGTAAGGGTTTTTTGAAGTATGTGTGACTGAAAGGCAGAGTGTACATGGATCTCTTGCTGTAGACACAACAATGCTGTTCAATTAAAAGCAGGTTGAGTACTGATTTATTACCATTTTCCATATGTGGATTATCTTGCAGCTCTAAAAGCTCATGCAGGCATTGGAGTCAAGTTAGTAAAAGAAGTCACATTTTTCACACATTTGGTTCTCGGTTAACTGACGCAACTGACAGCCCAGATTTCGCCTCAGGTCAAACTAGCTGCTCTGCAAGTGCTCCTTTTGGTGTAGCTTACACAGTATCAGCCGGCTTATTACTTCATATAGCCTAGGCAGTAACTTCCCGGGGCCGTGTGTCCTCATAATGAACTCAAATTGAACACTTTTCATATGAAACGTTTGGAAAAATTACTTTTGTTAAAAAAAATCAAAGTAAAAGAAATGCTTTCCTAACTGATTCTTGCACAGTTCAGCTATTGTAAGAAGAATTAGTATAAAATGGGACACAAGAGAAAAATCTCTATCCGTATCTTTTTTTTTTTCTTTTGTCCTGGACAGTTCTGAAATATTTCAGTACAAGTACAAATAACGTTCAGTTGGACTTACCTTGGGTAAAAAAGAAAACAAGACAGTGAGGAAAAGGAGAATATGTGGCTTTCCTTCTTGTTAGCCTGACTATTCAGTTGGAACTCCAATAGTCGTCAATCAATAAAGGACAGAAACAGTGAAGCAACCTCATATGCAACCAACTGATATTTACCCAGGCTCACAGCTAAACCTGCAGATGACAGACGTTTTTCACCATGTCATCATAGAGGACAGAGAGTTACTTGCTTTGTTAACTCAGTGACTTATGTGCTGCTTTCCACAGAATTGTTCAAAGCTGGTCTTTTTACCAAGCATCATCCATACTGAGAGGGGCTCCTTATTTGCACTCTTTAATACAGGCCCTGGCTTGCAGTTTTTGTAATTCCTCAGTGTTGTGGTAAAACCTGTTTTGGTTGTGTTGTGAAAGCACAACCCACTAGTTGTTCAACAAAAAGATGTACAGTATGTGCATGGAACCTAATTCAGGGTTTGTAGTTTTAGCTCATCTCTGGCTGAAAATCATGATTTTTTTATTTTATTTTTCCAAGTACAGAACAAAATTCCCACCGATGCACCGTTTTTTTTTTGTGGATGTTATGTCCATTGTTGCTGTTAGTGTTCAGGAATGGTTCTAAGCCCTGATGTTTTATGCCATTTTTATTTCTCGGAAACCTCTTTTCTTTTTTTTATCATTGTTCGTTTATTTATTTTTTCTACCTTAGATGCTTTTAGTTCGAGTATCATTTAAAAAAAAAAAAATAATAATATTTTTTTGTCTAAGTATTGCTTTCCATTTTGTTGCCTTTCAGCAAAATTATATAATTTGTCCTTTCTTTCACATCTATGTTCATTTTAGGTTGACCATGCATTTTTTAAAAACCTTCTCAGTAAGATTTAAGAAAAAAGTTTTCCCCTAAAATTCATCTATAGCAACAACAATCTTTTAGCCAAAATATTCTTGTTGTGTCCCTGCAACAAGATGAATACAGCTTTTTAACAATTTCTGAAAAACTTCCTTCTTTCTTCACACATTTCTCAGCAACTTTTTCAACCCAGTTTTCTTCAGTTATTAATCATGACCAGCCTTTTCAACACTCAGTGTTTTTTTTCGTTTTCAGTTCTCTCAATGACAGGAGGGCAAAGGTGAACCAAAATGCAAAGCCACAGCAAGACGTGAAACATGGCAGGTGTCTGATTTGATCCTTCTACCACCTGAGGGCAACACACTTCAGCTGTATGACAGTGTGTGAAAACGGGTGCCATTGGCTCGCTGGTTGAGTACAAAGATCAGACAGGTAAGGAAGGAAAATTAGAATGTTGTATTATTTGCAGTATAAGACTGAAATGCAGTTTTATTACATTTGAGCAACAACAAAACCATACAGAATGAAAGATAGATGGATATCCACTTGAATTAACACTTTATAGAAAAGATCGAACGCATATAGTTGATAAGTTGTTAGGATTCATTGAATTGGTTCAACAAAACCTTTCAATATATTAGTGTAGGCCAGATTAGGAAAGATATAAAACCTTTAAAAAGTCAACAACGGAAAGAAAAAATTATATTCTTTTGAGGGCATGGGCCATAAAAGCAGCACAGAAGAAAGCTTAATGACCTCTTCATAAAGATGATCAGCCATATAGCCTGTGATTAGTTAAGAACAAACTCTTGTCAATGACAAATAGTTGCTAAAGGGGAAAAAAACACTGCTACTAAGATAAAACATGAGGTTGTTAGAGAAAACCTTCTGCCCTTGAGGCCCAGACAAACAAACTCGACTCAAACATAGAATCCTCGTTCTATCTGAAAACTATTGATTCAATGTTGAAGCAAATTCTTAACCTCATTTATCAAATTCTGCCCTTCCCCTTCAGAACTTGGTCTCCTTTACCTGCACATTGTGAGTCATGAATGTATTAGGAAAAATGCTAACACATTATTGTAATTTTCCATCCCTTGCACACCTGTTTGCTCTCAAGACTTGCAATTGACACCGCTCCAATTGTCCTTGTGTTGGTTACCCACCCACTCATACTTCTCCTACCTCCGCCTCAAAATTCCACAAAAGATGACGATGCAGGTAATATCCTGCTTCATTGTTCACCTGGGGCAACTTTTAATTAAAACCCAATGTGGCCTTTTGTGTTTTTGCGACAAAAGAGCCAGTGCCATTGTAATCACGGCGGTGGGGCCTCCTCTTGCTTTTGTGTCCTGTGCTCTGAGTGTACTGTTATTGATTGATGATCTACGAGGTTTCTATCAGGTGACGAGGCAAACGATGAACCCTTCCTGAACTGGAAGCACAGCTGTGGGGAAATCTAGTGAAAAAGGACAGCTTGTTTTCTTGACATAGTATGTTGGAGATATTAAGCGAGGCCTTAGGGTGCTAGCCCTATACCACATTGCCCTTCAGCCCATGGGTGTAAATGATTGGGTGGTGTGTCCCAGGATGTGCACTTTACTGTCTGGATCTTTCCTTTCTGATGCCCTCAACTACACTTCTTTCAGCAGAATTGCGCAAACAGCTTTGCTTGTGCGTTAAGAGGATGAGTTGTTAGTTTTACCGGTGCACAATTTCTAAAATGAGCTACTCTTGTAATATTTCTAATTTCATGTACCTTCAGCCATTCTCTAAAGGGACTGTGGCTGAAATGAATAACAGCTACATTTTAGGTGGAGCCATTACACCTTAGAACCTTATGTGACAGAAGGAAGAAGGGGAAACTGGGATGTAAAGTGTTGTCATTTGCTGCCCTCTGGTGGTATTTTACCAAAACACAACTTAAATCCTGTTAAGTACACAAAACTTTAAAGTGTAGGTCAGTTGGATATAAAATATCCCAATAACTGTTCTGTTTTATAACATTCTTTATTCTGTTTAGCCATGTTGACCTTAGGTAAACCTGAACTGCACAGGCCCAATGTGGAAATACTGAGCAGATGAGGGAATTAATGGTCCAAAACTCATTTTTTTTGGCATGGGAAGTGTAACAGCTTTATGGATTATAAGTAGGACCTAATTGTGTTTTTTTCCATTTCAACGACTACATCGATCAACATTTCAAATCACTGGACAGATTGAAATTGGGGAAAAAAACACCTCTACAGGCAGGTAGCTTGATCTGCAGAGTTGTAAGTGTGTACTTGCTATTGTATATTTTGTGCACTTATTGTAATTTAAATAAAAAAAAATAACTATTGCCTGAATGCACTCTTTCTCCTGACTCAGCATAATTCCCCTCTAAAACTGGGGCAACTTACATGAAAGCAACCAAAAAGTAAAAAGAAATAATAATAAAAAAACAGGGAAAGAAAAAAGCCTTTGTTAAAAAGTTGATCTGCCCACATCCACTGTTTTTTAGCTGAGTATGACTGAGTCTGCTGGTTTGAAGTCAGTGTTGATATTTACCCACTATTTACCATCAGAAGATTATAGCAGATCGGAGAGTCTTATCTCTCAGTTCCTTGGGTATGTGACTCATACCTAAAAGCAAGGCTTTGTACAATAATAACTCCAACAGATTGTGCACAGATTTATATCTTAAAGTATATAATATAGTGCAGTATAAAAGCATATGTACCCCCAACAGAGTTAATCTATTTTTCTCTTCATTTGGTGCCAAATTGTTTTTCTTCATCAAACAGCATATCAAATGGAGATAACCTAATTTAAAACAAAAGTTTTTCAATTATGTTCTCATCCATGGCAAAAAGAGTTACCAAACTAACACGTTAATGGAAGTTACTGTAATGAATATTGTCCTCTCTTATTGTTTATTGTTTTATTTTTTCTTTGGTTTAGTTTTTTTAGATAGTGGCATAAGTGCTTTGTAAGACATTTCAGCCTACTTTTTCATGTCTGACAGGTTTTATTTAGGTTAAAGTCTTTCTTTTCCTCAACCATTGAAACCATGTTAAAAAAAATAAAAATGAAGGAATTTGTCTAACTGAAACATTTGTGTTGGAAAAAAGTGGGACAACAATTATGGCACATTTTGCACAAAAATGTGGTTTATGATTTCAGCCACCTAAATTGTATTACTTTAAAGTCAATGCATTTTAAAGTAAAGGTGTGTGACGTTTCATCTTTTTAGGCCAAGCACAGAAAGTACCACAGATAACAATCATTGGCCTGATATATTTTATTTTCTGTGGATTTCTTATCCATGTGGGCTGCTGCAAATTTCACTAGTAGTTGAAGAGGTTGATTTTGGAGCAGTTTATATTTTATTTTATTTTTTTGGTTCTCTCAGCTAAAGGTGATGCAAAAATAACTTCTCTAAAAATCATTAAAAGCCCAGCTTTTGCCTGGAGCTTTACAGCTCTAGCTTTAGGTCAAAAGAGCAAAAGAAAAAGCTTCTGTGGTACAGGGTGAACTGCTGGAGGTTTTTATACCTTGCACATAAGGTTAGAGGGATTTTCTCAGTGTAGCAACAATAGTAAATATTTCAATATATGAAGAAGAAACATTGATATTCTGCTAATCTCTTAAGGATTCCAAATGTTGCCTAATTTTAAATGAATACCACCAAAATGACTGCCCATTTTCCTATCCACCAAACCACAATGTGAACCTAAATGTTGACTCTTCCATACAAGAACAAGGGTATTTGAGAGAAGGCGGAAATTAGTTGGAAAGTTTCTATTAAGATTAAAACATTATTATTGAATACCTCTGTGTGAAAGGAAGATGCAGATCAGCTATAGCCAGTGAGGGAAAAAAAATACTAAGAAGAATTGCTCTAAGTAAAGAAATATTTACTCAAATATAATTAAAGAGTGGATTTGTTAATTAGAGGTATTAGCAACTGAGTAATATATATCGGATTTAATTTTGAATAATTATGTAACCACACAGTCTTTATTTTAAATATATGAGCAAATTTGTACACATATCATAAACTTAAATAATTTGTCTTTATAAATGATTAAAATAAGTCATTAAAAATATAATAAAAAAGATAATTCAGAAATAGATCTTTAAATCTGTGGTGTTTTCTCACAGAAGTTATTTTACTTATATTAGGTTGATGCAATCTTCTCTGACATCTGTTTGTTGTATTATGGCCCATTGACCTCCATATGGCACAATAAGGTCAGCAGATATAAAACATAATTGGAAGGAAAAACAGGTTTACAAACTGGTCTCATTCACATAAATTGTACTCTCATAAGAGTGTTGTCATTTCAAAATATGAATTAAGTAAAAGTTAAAACTTCTACTTTTTTCCCCACAAAAGTTGCTCAAGTAAATGTAGCATATGAGCATATGAAACTCGTTTCTACTGACCTCTGGCTGAAGTGAACATGGTGGTAGATTTAGTTGTCTTTGCCAGGGCTTATATTGGCCTCTGTGTCTACTTCTCCTTAAAACTTCCGAATTTGGGCTTTGCTATCTACAAAAGAATATTAACTGACGGCTTTGGGGCCCACACTTCAAAACTAGAAACAAAATCCATCTGAGCTTGTTTTTCACCTTTATTATTGATGGCTAGAGAAACATTATAAAATAGTAGAGAAGCTGCAAATTTAAACTAATACACTTTTAAGTTTTCCTTGGAATAGTTTTCTTTTTTTGACCCTGACTGCAGCTCAAGAATGCCTCTAGGAAATAGAGCTGATGCAGGAAGAGATTTTTTAAGGCTTCTTTTCTTTATTTTCTAAGAACTTTTAAACAGCTACTCTTAAAATTGGCTAAATATTAAGGTTTTTCCAAGTAATTTTTGCAAGTGGGAATAGGGTAAAACATTTTTGTAGAATAACAGGCTGAAAACATTTGGCTTCTTTAATCTAAGCAAATGTCTTTTATCCTTTTTGTTGTCCACAGTAGTTTCTTATACTGTGTCAATAAGAAAATAATTTAATATATTAAATATTTTTTATGTTTTTAACTGAAAAAAGCAAGCAAAAAAGATGAGTCTTGAGCACTTTTATCTTTTAAACATTTCTCCCAGTGTTAAAAGGTTGGATGTCCCTATATTAAACTGCAATATAGTTATATTGGTACTCGAGCAATGAGGAATTTATTTAAATAAAAGTGTAATGATGTTATGAATTGGCTTGACATTGTTTTAAATAGATGTCAAAGCAGGAGTAGTAGCAGAAGAAAACAATTTAAAGTATCCAAATGTTCATTGCATAAACTAAAATAAAGACTGTAGTTAAAATATTAAGCTTTCTTTACTCTGTTGTTTACAAAATCCAGTGCAACCTATTGCCTTTAGCAGGCACCTAATTAGTAAATATAGTCCAACTCAGTGTAATTTATTTTTAGTAAAAATCCAGCTGTTC